CTCTCAAGACCCTTATTTCCTTTCTTTTTTCTAACAGGTTTTTTTTTTATTTTTTTTCCCAATAATACTTTCATCATCTCACGTCATTATACGATAACCCATCTTTAAGCTTACCACATTTGGGGAACCAAAGTGACCGTAGCTGATAGAACATTTTATTGATGCATGACGTATATCGTTGGTCAGGAAGTTCGGTCAAAATCTTGAAAAGCAAATTTCATTCATTTCTGTTTAACTAAAATAAAAAATAAGCCAATCATATTATTATCGGGTATTTTTCGTAACTTTAAAATAAGAGATATATATATGTGGTTAATGTAAATGGAAGTATATAAAATGATAAATCATTTGATTTGCCTTTGTACCGTTTCATAGTTGTTGTTTACATGAGCCAATCTTTTTGTAACTTTTAATAATTATAAATAAAAGTTTAATACTTGGGTTATCAGGTGAATTATGGGTCGGGTGTAACCATGTGAAAATCAGCTGTAAAAACGTTTGCGCTAAAAAATTTTGGTAAAACTCTAAATGCATTCACAATGCTAATATTTTTAATTATAAATAATCTGATCTCTGATTAACTGTAAAATTTACGCGTTTTTTTTTTTTTGAACAAAATGCAAAGCAAATTTGCTCGCTGATTATATTATCTTACGATCAATTTAATTTTGAAAATCAATGAAGAATTTTCGTAAAAGTTTGATCATAATGATAAAATAGACATTAATATGATCTCATTTTGAAAAAAATAAAGAAAAAATAATAATCCGTAAAATTTTGTCATTATTTTTCATATAATCGATGCATAAAAATATGATCTCATTTATGATTTAAAAAGTTATATATATATTTGTTTATTCGTTCAACATTTTTTTTTTTTTTTTAACGATAATTATTTTTTCACTTTCAAACTTTCAAAATGGATTCTTATAAAAGCAAAGAAGCTCCTATGACCGGTTATAAATATGGTGAAATCGAACACGCTACAGAAAACGTCACCAAAGATGTGTTAAATTACTCTAAACAAGCATTTTCTTCCGCTCAAGACAAAGCAAGTCGTGCCGTCGATGCTATAAATCATGCAACTGAAACGACGGTTGAAAGAGGAGTTGGCGTTTTCAGTAAAGCAACTGGAACGACGGTTAACGCTTTTAAACATCCGGTCGAATCCGCTAGATACGCTTGGGAAAATTTTCCTCCTCTAAGTTGGTTCGGTTATGGTGTGGCCGCCCTAAACTCTATTCCTTTAGCCATGTTCATTTGCTTCTTCTTGATCACCCTCGCCTTCGTCTTGGGTGTAGCCGGTACGGGAATTTTGGCAGCTGAAGGATTTTTCCTTGGAATTGGGTCTATATTCTTTATACCTACCGTGATCGTTTTGACTTTTGCTGCATTCTCCACCGCTTTATTCACCGTGTTTGGCTGGGCCGCTTATAAGGCGGCAATAAAGGTGCTGTGTAATCTTGGTGTGGTTAAAAGAGAAATTCAACATGATTCAAGTGCCATGTTCAAAGGAGGAAGGAAAGCGGTGCAACAGGAATACGAAGAGTAATTAACAAAGTGATGGAGGATCAATAATAATAGGCAATAATAAAATTCTTTGGAAATGAAATCTTAAAATGTAGTTTTTCTAATTTGTAACTAATTTCTAATAAAATCAAAAAAACAAAACCCCTTTGCTCAAAAATTGTTGAACTTTTATAATGATCGGAGTGAACATAAAAAAAATTTATTAATGGATGTCGTTCCTCGCGGACGTAAAAAGTTCTGCCATCAAAAATGTCACAAAATGTCCGGCATTAATGATTCGCCGCGTCACGTAAGTGACAAATAATGGCTGTCCTTGAGAAATACTTGGTAAAAAAAAAAACGCGGAGGGAATGTGACTCCTGTGACAAATATCACGCGAATTTTCGTGACACTTTTTGTACTCGAAACTTTGTCATTCCGAATCAAATTTTTGCTTATTAATACAGTTGCCAATAATTGCTATCGTTATCAATGAAAATCATAAAAGACTCGTTCAAAATCGTAAACTCAAACTCTCTCCTCCATGTATTTGTCTGCACACAAGGCAACTAAAAAACTTGGAATCTCGTCAAAAGCCTTACGTCGTTGGCTAAAGCAAGGAAGAATTATTGCTAAAACGACTCCTTATGGTACTCGCCTTTACGACAAATTTTCCATAAATCATTGGTCGGTAATATTTGTATATAAATATTGTAAAAATATATTATAATAGTAGTGTCAAATACATAACACATATATATATAGCTGTTTGTGTACCTTGATCATTTTACAACAAGAACTTCATAGTTGTATTTTTATCTTTCTATAAAATAAAATAAAAAAAAAATAAGAATGTCTTTGGATGCTATTCTTGAGTCAGCTAACCTTTTGTTGCAAACAACATTGAGGTTCCAATATCGGCCTCAAAGAAATATTAAATAATGAAAAATTGATTTTTCTCAAAAAGAGGAGGAATAGCCAACATTTTTTTTTTCTCCTTAATTCGTACTTCCAAAGAAGTTATTTCACTTGCTTCGTCCGATCCAGTAGTAAAATTTTCTAAACAACTTTTTCTCTGTAAAGTATAATGTAAGTCGCGTCTTTGCTTTTTTATTTGTTCTAAATGCGTCACTAAAGAAATTTTAAAATAAATGACATTTCAGATCAGAATAATCAAAATTCGGCAAATGATGAAAGTATTATTGGGAAAAAAAATAAAAAAAAAACCTGTTAGAAAAAAGAAAGGAAATAAGGGTCTTGAGAGTATAAAAAATGAGAATGAAGTAGATAACCTAAACCTTATTAGAGATCACGAAATTGGTAATTAAATACCAATGGGAAAAGACAAGATAATAATCGGTCATAATGTTTCATTTGATTGTGCAAGGATCTAAGAGGAATACCATTATAAAGCATCTGGTAATAAAAAAAAATTTTTTTTTAATTTCCCTTATGAGTTACTGGTTACGAATGTATTGAAAAAATTCTTAATGTTACTGCATTCTATTCGCAAATAAACTTTCAAAAAGCTTAACCTTTTACAAAATATATAAGTTTTTTTTTCTATTTAATGTTTGTTACTGCCACTCAGGCTTCTTCTATCCTTGATGTTTCCTTGTGTACACTTTGTTGCTAGCACTGCAACAGTAAAATAACAGCATTTCATTCACCAGGTGGTGTGAGACTTTATGATATCTCAAATATTGTGGATTCCATCATCACCATCACCTCCACCGCTACTAAAAAAGGATTCCTCTATGCTCAGGTTTCTAGAGTTAAGCAAAATGAGGACCTTGAGTAGTAGAAGTAACTCCTTAGCTCCTGGTTCTCAACCTATAACCTCAGCTCAGGTATCAACTTCAAGAGACTAAGATGTAAGACCTTATTAAAACGGATAAGTTGCAGAATAGTCTCAGAAATTTTGTTACACATTGTGACTGATTTTGCTGTTTCACCTTTGACTTCATCCAGTATATACTCTTCCTCTATTTTACAAAACTCATGGTTCTCTTTGATGATGCGACCTCTGATGAATACAAACTTTCCCAAAATATCCTTGCAATCAACACAGTCTTTATCTGTTAAATATAAGGAAAAAGAACCACTATTCATTGACGAGAATGTCAGGTTAAGAAAAAAGCGCAAAATAAAGATCAGGACAACATCAGCATGCAATAAGTGATAACACTTGAAAACCACTCTCAATCATACACTCTAATAAAAGTGTATTCAAATCACCCTCAAAAGCAGCTATTAAAACGTTGGATAGGCTTAATGAGATATGCTTATAATGCAGTTGTTTACTGGAATTGATACTGCTATTTATATACTAAGAATTCACATATTGGTCTATCACAACAAGTTTAGGTAAAACCTCAACTCATTAAAGATAAACTTAAACTTTATGCAGATGTTTGTATAAGAAAAATACGTTAATGAATATAAGGATAAGAAACTTCAAAAATCATGTATATAGGATGAATGTAAATTCGTACAAACTATTGTGCATATTGGAATATTACTTCAAGATACATATAGAAAAGTACCTGCAAATATTATTGATGAGGCAATTGATGAAGTATTAGCTGCTAGATATAATTATTATTTTTTGATTCTTTTTTGTTTAAAATTTTTATTTATTTTTGATTTTTTTTTTGATTTTTTAATTAATTTAAGAATAAAATAATTAAGCATAATATATCAAATACAAAACAACGAGATTCATCTTTATCATTTTGATCTCAAAATAATGCTCCGAACAGTTCGGTTCGGTCCGGATTATAGGCCAATCTGAAACCGAACTGAAAATTCCGGTTCGGTTCAGTTCGAATTATAAATCTTAAAAATGCCAATCCAAAACCGAACTGAACCGTAAACTGGTAAAAATCCAAACCGAACCGAAAATTTTGGATTAATCCGAAAGTTCGGTTCGATATATTCGAATCTCGAAGAGAACCTAATGTGCGATTCTCCAAAGAGTTTCGCAATTATTTCGCGATTCCCTTGAAGTTTCGCAAGTAATTTGCGATCCTCTTAGAGTTTCGCAATTACTTTGCGATTCCTCTTGGAGTTTCGCAAGTAATTTGCGATTCTCTTAGAGTTTCGCAATTACTTTGCGATTCCCTTGGAGTTTCGCAAGTAATT